TGTCCCAGGTTCCTGGTATTGATTCTAGTTCTCGTAATCTGCATAAATTGTGTGATGCTTGTTTTCGTGCTAAACAACATCGTCGTAGTTTTCCTCTCAGTCAGACTGTTAGTCATGAGACTTTTCATTTGATTCATTGTGATTTGTGGGGTCCGTATCGTGTTCCGTCCTTTTGTGGTGCACGCTATATTGTGGATGATTGTTCTCGTGGGACATGGGTTTATTTATTGAATGATAAGACGGAGGTTGCTTCCACATTGCTGAATTTTATTTCTATGATTAAGCGGCAATTTGATAAATTGGTGCGTGTTGTTCGTAGTGATAATGGAAGTGAGTTCATGTGTTTGGCCTCTTATTTTCGTCGTCAAGGGATTTTGCATGAGACTTCTTGCGTAGGCACCCCTCAGCAGAATGGGCGTGTAGAACGCAAACATCAGCATATTCTCAATGTAGCTCGTGCTTTGCGTTTTCAGGCTCATCTGCCTCTTCCTTTTTGGGGTCATTGTGTTTTGACTGCAGTTAATTTGATAAATCGGACTCCTTCCTCGGTTTTACATGGTAAAACACCATATGAGATTCTTTATGCTTCGACTTCTTCCTTGTCTCATTTGCGGGTTTTTGGTTGCCTTTGTTATGCTCATAACCAAGATCGTAATGGTGACAAGTTTGCTGCTCGGAGTCGTCGTTGTCTATTTGTCGGTTATCCTTTTGGCAAAAAGGGGTGGAGTTTGTATGATTTGGATCGTCAGATTTTCTTCGTCTCTCGTGATGTGAAGTTTCTTGAGACTGAATTCCCATATCAGTCAGACTCCTCTGAGCTAGATTCTTTGCCACCGCCTCTTGTTGTGCCGGTTTCTTCCGTGCCAGATGATGATGAGGATCTTCCGGTTGTCTCTTTGCCTCATGTTTCTCCTGATATTGGGTCTTCTACTACTGATATGGACACTTCTGACGACAGGGGGGGTTCCGTTACCATTACCCCTCCCACTCTTCCAGTGGAGCCCTTAGGTCGTGGTCATCGGACTAAGGTTCCTTATACTCGGTTGAAGGATTTTGTGGTCGACACTGTCCGGCCTACGGTTGTACCCCCCACTGCTTCTTTTCAGTCGTCTCCATCCTCCAGCACGCCTTATCCCATAACACATTATGTTTCTTGTGATTCATTCTCTCCAGCTCATCGAGCTTTTTTGGCTGCTGTCGCCTCCACTGCTGAGCCTCGCACTTTTGCTGATGCCATTACTGATCCTCGATGGCGAGCCGCT